CTCACAAAAACTCTGTTATTCCCATGTAAGAAATAAAGCAAACGAAGGCCCAAAGAGGTTAAGTAATTTGCAAATTCACATTGTAAGTAGCAAAGCTGGGACTCACATCCAGGATGTCTGACTCCTGGCTCTCAAACACGAGGTCATTCTGACTCATTCATGACATGTGCAATGAATGTAAGAATTACTTGCTTTATCCCTAAATGTTACTAGTAAGATTAATATGGTATGTGATCATTCATTTGGAAATATATGTGAAACATTCACTGCACAATGTAAAGATCCAACTTTCCATTTTTCACTTAAGCATTGCCAGTGCTATCTAAGGAGATGGATTTCAAGTAATATCTGATGAGTCTCCAGCCCCCAAATAACCAATTTGTGTAAAAAACAAAAATTAAAAACAAAAACAAAATAAAAAAACAAAAAACAAAATAAGAGAAAGAAATCTGGCGCCAGAATCTGAGCATTACCAAGTGCATGTCTTTAGTGATTGGACCATAAATCACTACCTTTAGAGTTCTGTGTTGCAGGACAGCTGCTGAGGGCAGTTTTTCCTTTCACAGCAATCTATACCTGTGGCCTGTAGGCCTAACGCTCATGACAGATGGACTGGACTCCATTGAAATTGTCTAGTGTATCATTTTTCTCTAGGTGTCCAAACAGTGTTTGGAAATAGTGTTGGCTTAACTTTTAATACTGGCTGCACATTTGCTATTGGATTGTCCATTCTATGTCTTTTGAGTCTGTTAAAAGTGGATGAACTTCATTTTTTCTTGAAAATACACCTGCAAAGCTCAATTTCCTTTTAAGAAATTGCTAATAGATTCCCAATGTTCATGCAAGCTCTGAATTGCATTTTCTTCTCCCCTTTGATCCATCATTACCTACTTTTCCAACTGGTAATTTCAAAATAAGTGGTCTGGCCTTTGAATGCTTAATGTTAAAAAACAAAATAACAAAAACAGAAAACTTGAGATTGAATTTTTCAGTTTCTCTTGGGTTCACTCAAGACTAATCTGTAGTTTCAAAAGAAAACCTACCCCCAACTTTCTGTAGCAGTTTCACTACCACATTGTCTTTATAATTTGACTCTCCTAATAGACCCTAGGATTAAAATTCTTTGTATTCTTAGCACCAGAACAAAACTGCCACATTGCTGTTCATTCTGGAGTCAAAAGCTGTCATAATCTGCTGTTATGTTTTTCTGAATGCCCTCAAGCTGTCAAAATGTTTGCTATCTCTATCAAAATATGCCAAATTTATTTGGGACATTGGGAAAGAGCAGCACTGAAAACTTTCAGAAAAATGAGATTTGATGAATAGCAGATATATGAAGATTAAAATGAGAAACGGTAGGAAAGAACATATCTGCTACTAAGTATAAAAGATTGTACTATAAAAAATGATTGATATTATTGGGACATTAATTTATAAATAGAGGTAGAATATAACTTGTTATACAAAACAGGATATAGCAGAGTTTCAGTGGTTAGCAGCTCTTTTTTGTTTGGATAGCTAAAGATTAAAATGTGTGCCGATTACAGGCCAATATAATTGTTCGATTTCATTATGGTTTATTAATTTCCAGGTGGTATTCCAAAATATTGCATGTCTGTTTCAAGTTAATATGGCTACTCCATCCATCCCTAGAGGACCTCTATGAAACCCTGAGATCACATTTTAGCAAACATAATGAAGTAGGAAAAATGGAAGCTTATGTCGACCTAAATTCCACAGCGCAGAAGAGCACTTCTTCCTATCCACAGTCCAAACTAAAAATCACTCTGATGTATGCTGTTCATTATGTGTAGCTGCAGAATTCCAAACTAATTAAGATAGAGAGGAGATTATTCATTTATAGCTAAATTCCTATGGTTTATTTTCTATGTAGAACTAAAATGAAAACTTCAATTTTGTTTTCATTGGCATTGCTCCAGGATTTACCAAAAGAGTGGGAAGCCAGTCCCTTCTATGGGATCTTGGGACAACAAAGTGCCAGAATCATCTTTGAAAAGGAGCTATGCCACTCAGGGTAAGACAGGAGAGAATTTTCACAAACTGAATGTTCATATTTGTATTTTCTGAGTTCTACATCCATATTAAATGCAAGGACAGTTATTACTGGGGGTCACCTTAGAGATCTGGCTTTCCTCATTAACAACCATAATTTTTGGTTTCCCCAAAATATGTTGATCTCTAAGAAAACTTTCGTCTAAGAATAAATCATCCTGGGCTGGCCCGGTGGCGCACTGGATAGTGCGCCACTTGGGAAGCGTGGCGGCGCTCCCACCCGAGGGTTCAGATCCCACATACAGACCGGTTCCCGCTCACTGGCTGAGCGAGGCGC